GGCGGCCCTGCCTTGAGTTGCAAGGGTCTGAAACAGCACTGTCCGACAGCACTTTCTGCAAGGATGAAAATGTTCTAAATGTACACTGTCTAATACACACATGGCTACTGAGCACTTGAATTTCAGTTAGTACAGTGGAGAAACTGAATTTTTAATCTTAGGCTACCATGTTAGATAGTACATGCCTACAGTGTATATGCTCCATGAAGAAAGGCAGCAATGTCTAGAAATGTGGAGCATAAGAGAAGAATTAAGGATCCCTCCAAATTCTTGGCTTGAGCAGCCCTCTGTAAATTGCACACGATGAGAATCCTATCAGAGGCCTAGTTGTCCACCACCTCAGGAGTGGATCGATTTACCCAAGGCAGGAAGGCAGACACAGAAGACCATTTTGAGACTTTAGTGACTAAAGCATGTGGTAACCCACAGATGATCACCTTGACCTCGCAACTCAATCGCACATCACTATACAAGGCCCTCCTAACCACAGCCCCAAGCACACTTGACCAATGCCATCCCTGGGCATCCGTGGTTCTGGACAATCTTACAGCCAAAGCCCTCACATTGACCTAGTTTATTGCACGGATTTGTTTATAAGATGTCAGCCTCTCTCACTTAAGTTTGTAGGTTCTTTCAAAGACAGAACTTACTCCACTTGGTATTCTATTCCCATCACCTAGCACACAACAGGACTCAATAAAAACTGCATGACAGAGCCTGGAACCTACCAGGAGTACCATTAGTATTTTTACTGTTAATCACAAGAAAGAGGGAAACTGAATTGCGGGAAGGGGGGGCGGAATTACATAACAAGAGAAGATCATTTCCTCCTTAAATGACTCAAAAATTTCCAAACACATTAAGTCCAGATTTCAGAACACAGCATAAATAAGGTGGCCCTGTCTGACCACAGAACCTCGTTTCCAAAAACACAAATGCATAGGCAGAAAGATGATGTCCTTCTGACAAAAGATCCAAGATCTGTTAGTCTGGGATTTGGAAGAGCCCTCTTCACAAAGAGCTAAGATTCACAATCACATCCTTGCCTAAAAAGTACATGGGCCAGGTTCCCACTCTAACTGCTGGGAGGGGCATCTGGCCCCAAGGACAGCAAGGCCCCTGGGAATCTGGGCAGCCCAGATGCTCATTTTACCCCTGCAGTCAGAACCCTGTGACAGCAATGAGATTTCCAAGGTAACCAAGGAAAACAGAGTAGAGAATTATGGCCCTGGAAAGAAGTAGATTAAATTTTAATACTTACAAGTCAACATCAAATTTATTTTTAAAACTACATATCTAACAAAGCCAAATAAGCAAGATAGAATGGATGGTGCTCTACAGGAGGGTTTTATAAACATGAATATTCCAAGTATATACACAATTTTTTCCTATTTTGAGAATATTTCAAAGTGCCTAGGGACTCAAAGAAACTGAGACAGAAATAACCCCCCCCAAAAAAGGGGAAAAGCTCACTTTTCAGAGTTATGCCACAACTACTTATTTTTTTTCCATTATTTCCAAAAACACAGGGCAGATTCCATCTAGTGGTAGCAGCAGACTTTGCTAAAAATGTGCACAATAATTACTTCACCCAGAGAAAGTGATCACCAGGCGAATATTTTAAAACATAGCTATGTGCTGACCTGCTGCCAAGACAACAAACTGGTTAAAAAAAAAAATAAGCATGGGTTAACAGATACATAGTTTTTCATTCACTTAACTCATTCAACCATTCATCCATTTCCCCTACTCTTCCTACCCAACCCCCATGTAAATCCCATCTTGGTGCCAAAGCCCTCACCAGTTTCCATGGATTAACTATAATATAATCTGTTAAGCAGTTAGCATTTACTAAACCAGTTGTCTGTCAGGTACGGTGCTGTGGATCATCTCAGTAAACCCTCCCCACAACCCTCTGAAGTAGAGAGGTATTATTATCCAGAATTTAGTGCTGAGGAAAGTGAGAAAACGTCAGGTATCTCACCCAAGTTTAGACAACTGGCAGGTAGTAGAGTCTGAACTTGAACCAGGTCTGACAAATGAGGAATTCAGAGAAATCAGCATTTTTTTTTTTTTTTGAGAATTCAGGATTATTTAAAAGTAACAAAAAACAGGGGCACCTGGCTGGCTCAGTCAGTGGAGCGCATGAGTCTTGATCTCCGGGTTGTAAATTCAAACCCGTATGTTGGGTGTAGAGGTTACTTAAAAATAATCTTAAAAAAGAAAGTAACAGGAAACAGCAACACTTATGAAAACAACATGGAGCCAAGTTCATTTCCAGCTCTTCAACTTACTAGGCTCTATAACCTTGAACAAATTATCTTGAGTCTCAATTTCCTAATGTGTAAAACCGGGATGAGAAATAGACGTAAGAGATGTGACATTCATAGTATAAGGTTCACAAAGGTTTTTCAGTTTAAAATTAGTTTGCTAATTTCATGAATCATTTATTTAAACATAGGGCCAAGAGCCTGCAAATTTTAAATTTATTTTATTTCTGTTAGATGAATAACAAGTTACAATACCCACTCTCTGTCTCACTTCAGTATGAAAAGTAGATGCTTGTTGAAAACCAAACTATGTGGGCATCACTTCTTAATCAAAGTATATACGGAACAAGTTTTGGTAATGGGAATGAACATTAAACACCCGAGAACAGAGCATTATTTAAAGGAATCCACAGTGATTCCTCAGAGAGTAAACACCTTTCAAATGTAGTTTTCTCAAAAATCCAAACTCACAAATTTCATCATCATAGTATGAATAGTGGCTTTGCTTAAAGTGAAAATAGACCTGTAATGATCTCAATTTTTTCATTTTTGAGAATTTAACCAATTCGTGTGCTTCAATGGCAACATGGAGCAAGCTTGCAATTTAATAAAATGACCAAATCCAGTCTCTTTTTAATCTGCTCAGTAACTGAGCTCTCAGATAATCTCCTGCACAGCATACAAAAAAAAGCTTTGGAATTATACACCACAAACTAAAATTAATCAGAGGAAGGGATGCCAATTTTAAAAGCAATTCCTATTTGCCTAGCTTCCCAGCATCTGCCAGTGTTAATATTTAAGTGACAAATTGCAATGGGGAAAAGAAACAGAACTTCACACACAATCAAGCCTTCTTTAAGGCATCATGTAAAAGCTTCCCTCCCTAAAGAAATATTCAGCTACTTTTTTGGTTGCAATCCTTCCATAGACATTATTAGTAGTGTAGTCTCAAAACATGGAGAAAATGTTCCCCTTGCTTTTCAACCAGTACTTCTGGAAAAACTTCTTTGGGTCATCCCCATCTGCCTACTTTGAAGCCATCTTTTTTAAGCCTTGCTGACACAAGTAGAATTAAGTGATGTGGGATTACAGAACTCACTACAAAACGTTTAGGTGTAGCCCTCCTCCACCAAAAAAAGGAGAGAAGGAAGGAGGGCCGGCCGATGCCCTAGCTATACTTAAAACATTCAGAATGCTGAATCTATTACTTATGATTTAGCCTATTATTGACTGTTTATGTCTACAAAGAAAAAAATTCCCATTAAGGGCAACAGTCTGGATTTTTCCCCCAAACAATTCCTAACAGCAGATGCTTTGTTCAAGTGGGCAAAAAAATTAATGGCATCACTTAATTAAAAGCTCTGTGGTGACCTCCCCTCACTCTAGGGCAATCATCATCTTCTAAAGTCCCTACAATACCTCCATTTTAAGGATGTAACTGGACATTCTGGCCTAGAGAAATTTAATCTATTCTATACTAGCACACGTGTGGCTTATAAACCAGTTACCTATTATGAGCCAAGCAGACTGCGAAGCACCTTACACACGACGTCTCTAACCCTCATAATAACCCCGGAAAGGATGTATTACTAGTCTCGTTTGCTAGGTAAGAAAAATGAGGGCAGAGAGGTGAGGAGCTGCCCCACACCACACATCCAGCGGTGGCCCTGGACTCACAAACTCAGCCCTTCACCGCAGGCTGCTTGGATTGTCAACCCAAGCTGGTTCATTCCGAAGTGTTCTCTCCGCAGGATGTGGAGGGCTTACCAGTTAGCGCTAGGCATGATGACTTTGCACCTTGAAAGCACTTGGCTAAAATCAGGCCTTTTCCAGGCTGATAGGGAGGGAGGCGATCAGGGGTTCAAGCAGGTGAGACACACGCAACTGGGGGCGGCTATCAAAGGTCTTCGGATCAGAAGCCCCGGCTCCGCACACAGCTCCCCGCACTCGGCTCCCGGGCGCGGCGCGGAATGCGGTCAGGCCTCCCCCGCTAAGGTGTGCACACCTCTTCCTGGACAGCCGGGGTCCTCCGACCCGCCCGAGAGTCGGGCAGAGGGGGCGAGGGCTGCAGCGGGGCTCGGAGCACACCGCTGCGCCGCGGGGCAGGCTGGCGGCAGGGGCTCTTCCAGAACAAGTGGGAGGTGGGCGCCCGGGGATGGCTGGCGAGCGCACGACCCCCGCCGCGCCGGGCGCGGGGGTCCCCGCTCACCGCCCACCCCGCCTTCCCAGCCAAAGTTGGCCGCGCCGCCGGGAGCCGCCCGGCCCGGGGCCCCGCGACGGAAAAGAGGGCAGAGGGGTTGGCTCTTAAAAAGGCCCAAGGTAGCCATCAGCCATCTCCTCAGAGCCACCTACACGGAACAAAGGGCTTCTGTGTCGGGCAGGGGTGGCCCGGCCGCGTCGGATTTGGAGGAAAGAAACTTTTCCCGGGCTGCGGGCGCCGGGGGCAGGCGCGGGGGCGGACCGGCGGGACGGGCGGCGGGCAGGGCGCGGAGCCACCTGAGGCCGGGGCCG